AGGGAAGCTAAGATAACTTAATGAGTTTCAGCCTAATCTCCAGGAAAATGAGATAAACAGGTGAGTAGGCTTTGAGAGAGCAGCAGCTGAGATGGGAAAAGGACAGAGGGGCATCAATTCATAGCAGATAAAAGGAGCACGGTCCTACTGAATCACATCTGAACATTCCAGGTCCCATAAATCAAAGACCTCGAGGCATTCCTCTTTTAAAAAGCAGGAAGTGCTCCAAGTCTGGTTTTTCTTAAAGCTGGCTCTCCTGTATATACCCAGCACATGACAGAGTACAAAGTTGTGCCTGGGTGAGGATAGAGTAACCATATCTACTCTAAAACTAAACTTGCTCACATTTATTAAGAGCAGTTAAGATTAAGGTCACCCCAGCTTCAAACCCAGATAGGAAACTGGTGTGAGACAGTGGTTGCTTCTTCCTTCCATCTAGAACAGGTCTCACACACAAGCCAGAGGAAGCAAGTGGTATGTTTCAAGGGATGGCATAAAGGTACACTTCACCAAAATATCTTCCCTATATCACAGAACAGTCTTTCAATGAGATAGTTGTTTGGCTTAACAAGAACATACACAAGAGAATGTTGAGGAAAAGGCTGGGAATTCGTTATCTAATAACTGTTAGATTGGCAAGGGTTTGGTGGTATATGTTTAATAACTGGCTCTCCAGGAGAAGATAGATAGATACATAGATAGATAGATAGATAGATAGATAGATAGATAGATAGATAGATAGATAGATAGACAGAAAGAAGACGAGAGAAAAGATAGAGAGAGAGAGAGATAGAAATAGACAGATAGATATAGATAGATAAACAGATAGATAGATAGATGGATGGATGGATGTATAACACACCTTTAAGTTCAATATGCATTATTAACATTTTCTCTATCACTTTCTCAAATTTGTGCAATCAATAAAACATAAATCAAGCCTTGACTTGTAGCATTTGCCAATTTTTGAGGTATCAACACACTAAAAATTCAGCAATCCACTCTCCTAGACTGGTTTGAGCTGGCTCCAGAACACCTCTACAACTTACAGGATTACACATTTAGAGGTATAAAGGATTTTAGAGATTCTATAAATATTCCAACCCTATTCACTCTCCAGATGAGAAATTCATGCACAATTTGCAGTACTTAGATTTCTCTGAGATTAGCCTCACTAAGAAGATGGGTATTTTGAAGGCAGCAGAAAAAAAGGGAAAGAATGTGGTAATTTTGGCATATGGGGAACTTTGGGTTAAGGTAAGCATGAATGGAAGTAAAGTAGCAGACTCTGGGTAGTCAGAAGACACTGCACATCTGAAGAACTACTGAGAGAAGGTAACAGTAACAGGACAGTCATTTTAAAATGTGCAAAAAATTATTAGAGGCCTTATATTAGTAAGAAATAACAATACAGTTGGGCTTTTTAAAAAGATATGCACATAATGGAAATTAAATTCACAATTTTAAAATTGAGAATAGGGAAAATAAAACTTTAGCAAATACAATAAACAATTTAAAATATATTTCAAACCCATATTATTGCTAATTAACTTGGGAGGGGAAAGAAGAAAGTAGAAAAGACAAAGACAAATACAGAGGGAAAGACAGATAAGAAGGGAAGTGTCAAAGTGAGATGTTCTTAACTTTCTCATATCATGGACCCCTGTAGCAGTCTGGTGAAACCTATAGACCCCTTCCCAGGATAATATTGTTAAATGCATAAAATATAACATATAGAATTATAAAGAAAATCAACTATATTAAAATACAGTTATCAAAATATTTTTTAAAAACAAGCTCATGGACCCAAGATTAAGAACCCTTTTTTATGTAAATTTTGAAATGTTAGTCTGGTAAAAATACTCATGCCATACTCTACTATTTCCAAATTTTCAACTATTCTTCATCTTTAATCCTTCAGAAGTTTGAACCTGAATGGATTAATCACAACTGTCCACCAAGGAAGACATTATTCTCTCAGCTTCAGCAGCAGTGACCAGCACAATACAACTTCATCAGCCAGATTAAATCAGAGGCAATGTCTCAGCATCTCTGAGTCACTCGTCCTTAGAAGCTTTACAGGAATACTTGTTTAGAGACAGACTTTTACTGATTTGTATTTGGTCCCTTCCTGATTCCAAACATTTATTATTTATGAACACCAAGTAAATGCAGCCATCACAAGGTCCACATCTGCTGGCACTGAGATGGCTTACTTGGTGATATTCTCAGATGAATCCAATTAGTAGTACAAGAAAACCACATACAGAACACATGGCTAAACCATTTCTCAATACAAGTTGTTAGTGTAAACAATGGTATGTTATATTTTTCCAAATGCTCTACCACTAATACACTTAGTGTTCAACTTCACTAAAAGGTTCATTGCAGGAAACAGAAAAGATTTTGGTGTACCTTCAAATGGAGTGAAAAGAGAAGATAATTTTTTTAAATGCATACAATGGTCTGCTAGGCATAGAAGTGAAATTTCAGCTATGTTTTTTAAAAAGTACTCACTTTAATAGAATAACATCATTTAGAAAATCTCAATCAGTTAGAAGTTACAACTTTCAGTCTGACTCAGAAAATAATCAGCCCTAGTAAAAACTGTTAAAAGTTATTAAGGCTATGTCAATGACACATCAGATTGGTCAATTCAGCCAAAATAGTTGCAATCACATAATAATCTTAAATATGCAAGTTGAGCCATTTGAGGTATAAATTTCAGTGTGAAAGACAAAAGAACCAAAAGCCAATTTCTACATGAAGCTAAGAAAAATATGAAATTATTACCTTTAAAGAGAAGCTAAAGTCAGAAAAATTATCCAAGATGCCTTCAGTTCTTTCTCCTCTTCTCTGACTATCCAAATCCTGTTGCCTTCAAATCCCCTTCCCCCATGAAGCTTTCCCAGATCACTTCAGTCTGCAATGACCTTTTTCTCCTGTAAATTCATAGCACTTAATGTCTCTATGTTCATTTGGCAATTAATCTGGTATTGCTCTATGATGCTTCTTGTATTCTTATTTACCTTTTCATGAAGGTATTAATTAATTAATTAACAATTAAGTTCTAAGCTCTTTAGAGGTAGGGAATATGTCTTCTTACCAACCACAGTGCACAGTGCCTTGAATGTAGTAGGCCCTCAATAATATTACATTAAACTGGTTGACATGCCCTCTTAAATAAATTAACTTCAACTTTTCCTTGTATCATAAACATATTCTTACACTAGAAATGGAAGTATATTGTTTGCAAAAATTCAGGCGAGTATAAAGCTTTAATCACTAAGTTACTCTTTTAGTAAAGAAAGATCTATACCCTTTTAGAATTTTTGTGAATATTATGCTTCAATTTGTCAGTGTGGAAAAACTTTTTATTCTAGAATTGTTCCCAAACTTTTAATCAAGGCAATGCAAGTACTATTCCTCCACCATAAAAAAATAATTAAAAAGCTAAACCTAAAAATAGTCATCACTTTGAAAATACTTTTTCTTCTTTTTTTGTTTTTTCTTTTTGGTGAGGCAATCAGGGTTACGTGACTTGCCCAGGGTCACACACCTAATAAGTGTCAAGTGTCTGAGGCCACATTTGAACTCAGGTCCTTCTGAATCCAAGGCCAGAGCTCTATCCACTGTGCCACTTAGCTGCCCCTACTTTGAAAATACGTACTTAAGTTTCTTGCATTTCACATTGAAAAACAGCTTTACACTTGAAATAACTGCTACTAAAACATACTACCAACAAGCCAAAACTTGAAAATAAAGAAAGCAATTTCAGAATTAAATACTCTGTAAATTAACTTTTTTTCCCCAAGAACACAAATTATATTAATGCCTACTAAATTTTTCAACAGCTTTTTAAGAGAGAATATATTTAAGTAGGTTAATTGATACAAATTATACTCCTAAGAACAAACAAATACATGTTTCTTCAAAACTCAACAACTCACATTTTCTACTTCTGGAAAAACCCCAATGAAAGCAAGAAATTCATGGTTTCATTCTTTCATGAATTTTGATTAATCTTTGTGTGGTTCATTTTAGAAATACATAATTTGCAAACTATCAGCTTTCAATGTAGATGAACCTTGAATAATTTTAAAATATCTGAATCAAAGCTATTAAAGTTTATTTGAAACCACTGAGGTTCTTAAACATAAATTTAATAACAGTATTTGGGATATTTTTACTGAAACCCCTAAATAAGTTCTTCTTGACAAAAAAAGGAAAAATTTATTCAACACATTCTTGAAACTTTCAATTGCTTTATTTTAGTAAAATATATGTGGAAAGTAAAACTTCCATTTACTTGAAATGGAAAACAGAAGTGCTAGTTATATCTGAATATTCAAAGTTTAAGTGAAAGTTAAAATCTGAAGTAAGAATTATCAGATTTCAAAGAAGTAAAACATAGTAAAATACACTTGACACTAAAGGTACTTCATAATCTTTCTCTGATCATTAAGATCTTACAGTGCCTTAGTTTGTCATGATTATTAATTATCTCTAATAATCTGGGGGGAAAATCAGTTATTTGATCTTTCTGGTTATTTGGTTTCTGTGTACTCAGGATTTTGCTCAAGGCCACTCTTAGCACAGAGGGACTATGAGCCTAAAGGAATAGGATGGGAATTCAGCATCTTGAGTTGGGGGAGAAGGGAGGGAATTTGTGTGTGTGTGTGTGTGTGTGTGTGTGTGTGTGTGTGTGTGTGTGTGTGTGTGTGTGTGTGTATACAAGGACTTCTAATTAGGTCACCACTACTGTTTTTCTTAGAGCAATACCTTTTGAAATCTAGTATTTATGTTTTCATAGTACTTTTTAATCAAATTATAAGAATGGCAAAAAGTGGCGCAGTAATTGCTATATTAAGCAATGATACTTTTTAATTGATATTAACTAAAATATTAAATAAATAAAATTGACAACAGCACTATCCTTTTTGTTCGTCAAACAAAAATAAAAAGACATTTTCATGATAAAATATACATAAAACTATTAATTTTAAATTTTATTTTTTCTCTATGGTACAATAATACTTCATAATGAAACTTGCTATATTTAGAAATAAAAATTTTTAAATGACATAATATTTCCTTGGTTCAACTCACTGCATTTTAGGAAATAAATTTTGGCCACTTGATGAGAACGATTTGTTTAAAAGCAATCATTTCTCTGGGGACCCTTCAACTTCGATGGCCTCCTTTTTCTTAAGCCATGTCAAAACCGAGGACACTGTACCATCACCACTTTGTTGTGAGAAGCAAAGGAAAGTAGCCCAGACAAAGCCACAGAGGCCCGTATATGCTGTTCTCAAGTAAATGGGAACAAAACTGAAGTTGGTAAGCTGTGGCAGAAAGAAAAAAGAGTTTGTTATTGGTGTTCTGTATAAATTGCACTAAAAAGTTGACACAGAAAGCAGGTTTGAAACTCACCTGCACAAAAGGCCAGTACAAGAGACCAGTCTGCAACAAAGGAGAAGTTTATTATTTTGCTTTGCAATTACATGGAATGATTTCACTGCTCAGTTTACAAAAGCCAGGGAAGTACATGGCAGAGACTAATCATGTGGTATTCAGTTTAGGCTAAGCGGTTCAAATTAGATCTTAGCTGTTAACTAGAGAAGGAAATAAACGCAGTAGAAAAGGTTAAATTTTGTTACTCATACTCATACTCTGAGAATAGAATGCTAGCCAGTGTTAACAATGAATATGTAAGACAAACATTTGTTGAATACACATTAAAGTGGATATTGTGACATACTTTAATACTTTATCACACAGCACAACTAACTCAGGAAAGTACTTATAAAAGATGACATCAATTCATAGGAAAATATTTTGGAAACATAAGGAGCTACCACTCTGTGTAAGACTATCAAATAATTCTTTGATATGAATATAATGCTCTAAGAAGAAATTAAAACTACATTAAATTGAAAAACATTGTTTACCTGCCTTCTTAGTGGATTCCAAAATAGTTCACATATATCATTTTATAAACTTCAGTTGTACCTTTCTCAAAAGTTTATCAATCATGAAGAATTTGCTTTGTTTTTAAGGGGTCTTAAGTATTTAAAAGGATAGGTCTAGTCCTAGATCTAGTTCTAGAAGAGACTTCACAAATCATCCAGTCTCATATGCTCATTTTAGAGATGAGGAAACCAAAGTCTGGTGAATTTAATGCTTTTCCCTAGGTCACATAAGTCATGACAGAGATAACATTTGAACCCAGGTAGCAGCAGGTAGCTTCAGAGCTAGTGTTCTTTTCATCACATCACAAAGTTTGGGGTTTTTTTAGAGAAGAATCAAAAGTTGTCTCTTTCACAATCACGGAAAAATGTGTAAACTGACATAGAATTGAAGATATAAAAAGTCACACAGGTAGTTAAGCATCTGAGAAGGGATTTGCAACCCCCTCCTCTCCCTCCAAAGCCATTGTGCATTCCACTGAACTATTCTCCAAAGCTCCAGTCAAAGGACAAGAACAAATGGTTTTAAAGGAAATAGAAACTATCAATAACCACCCAAAAAGTGTTAAAAAATCAGTACTAATCAGGGAAAAGCAAATCACATAAACTTGCTTTATTATCTCACCGTGAAACTGGCAAAAAATGCTGAACGATGGGAAAACATTGCTGGGAGGGCTCTGAAAAGATAGCTAGGTGGCATAGTGGATAGAGCACCTGCTCTGGATTCAGGAGGACCTGAGTTCAAATGTGGCCTCAGACACATAACACTTAGTAGCTGTGTGACCCTGGGCAAGTCACTCAAACCCATTGCCTAAACAAAATAAAGAAATAATAGGTACACTAATTGACTCCAGGTGTAATTGTGAATTGGCTCACCCATTCTGGACAAATTTTAAATTACACAAGAAAAATTACTGGATTGTTCACATGCTTTAAAAACAGAAAGTCACACTATTGGAACTCTTTAATTAAAAAGTGTGAACCATTGAATACGTTCATCTTTTAAGGAGGTTATCTGCAAGAAAAGTTTCCTAAGTCAGTCTCTCAGATGGGATGTGACTGGGTTGGAATTCTGCCATGGTGTAGGAAATGATGAGCTGATTGATTTAAAAAAACATGGAGAGACTTAGACTTATGAAAGAAGATGTCACCCACTTTCAAAGAAACACACAGATGATAGGAGGAAATCAGCATAGTTAGGCCTTACATATACGAGTATATATGTGTATTTATGTATATTTATACATATTTATGTATGTATATATATATATATATATATGTATGTGCTTAATTGTAGCCTTCTTTAGAGTGGTGGGGGGAGGGAAGGGGAAAAAAATAAAGTAAAAAATGCACAGCAGAGAACAAAAGAAAACCAACAAGGAAACAAAGAAAAGCTGGGCAGCTTTGAAAACAATGTGTAATATTTATTATATAGGTTTTCTTAGAACAGAAGTTTATTGGTTTATATTGAATCCTCTCTTATGGTCTGCTGTGTACATGACAATGGTTTTTTTTCTTTTCTCATTTTACAGTTAAGTTTAAAATAAAAAACTTACAAAAAAGAGGTTCATAAGTAAATGTAATGACAGTATCACTAGGCTCTTTCACAGAGACTACAGATATTATTATTGTATTTTTAAGAGCCAAATGGAAGGTTTAACAAAGAATAGTTTAGATTTCCATAAGATCCTTTTCTCTATATAGTCACAGAGAATGTTTGTGTTTTATCTTTATATGAGATAAACTATGGAGAGACAAAGAGAAAACTGAAGAGAAATTTTGTGAGAATTCTATTATTTTATGAAAAAACATGAAGAATCTGTAAGATACTAGTAGTTTATAGGGTTCTCCAGGGACAGTACTTGTTAAATAGAAGAAAAAGAAAAAGGGCTAACATTATTTATTTCTGGAGAAGCTGAAATTAATTTATCATTAGGAGAAATATTAAGAAGATTTTTGAGAGACTTCAAATGATGGAACTGTTTTTCCAGAAGTGAAAAATCATCATCAACAAATGATGTTCTAGTGAGGGTTTGAAGTGACTCCAGCTGTGATCTTTGATATGGACAAAATACTGTAAATAATTATATGTTACTTTTAGTCTCCGTTTCATTTGTTAATGAATTATATATTTGGTAACCTTAATATTTATTTAATCATAGCAGATTAAGCTTAAGATTTAATATACTGAGATATATGAATAACTGCTTTTGGGGAAAGCACTTTCTCTAATTTATTCAGTAAATAACATTTAATGAACTGATGGAACATTGAGACAACTGATTAATAGGAAAGAGACTGCAAGTTTATTAATTAATAAGAAATATTAAAATATACCCCAGTTTCATTCATGCACTAGGAATGAAAGATGAAATATGGAAACACATCACATGGCAGGTGATGAGAAGTCACTTGTAAGTGGAATGGTCAGTTCCCTGAACTTTACTACATATGAACATGCTCATAGCAGCATTAAGTTATTAAAAACAAAACAGAATCAAATCAATATTCATAACAACAACAATAATGAACATTGAAACAACACTAAAGGATAGCTATGTTCAGATTAATTATGTGACCAATCTTGGTTCCAGAGAACAGATCTTAGAAGTCTCTCTTTTTAGTAGAAAGCTGGAAAAACTAGGGAAAAAAAATGTGCACAACTATTGAGGAATAGCTCAACAAATTATGGAATATATTTGTGCGAATATGAAGTATTCACAGAAACACTGTAAGAAATAATACAGGGCCCAGACAATATATGCAACAACTAAAAAAATGTAAATAAAATCAACATGGAGAGCAACAAAACCCCAGACATATAAGCCATCTATGTTAATATACTATCAGACAAAGGGCAAAGTCCTCAGCAATCGATACACTTCTTTTTTGTAAGGCAATTGGGTTTGAGTGACTTGCCCAGGGTCACACTGCTAGTAAGTATTAAGTGTTTGGTCTGAGGTTGGATTTGAACTCAGGTCCTCCTGACTTCAGGGCCAGTGCTCTATCCACTGCTACACCTCGCTGCCCCAATCCATGTGCTTTTTTACCCACTACAGGATGTTTTTATAAGGACGTTGTTTGGGTTTTATTGGGAACTATCCTTTCTGTCAAAACAAAATGTATCAATCCATTTTTCAAACTCTTATTTATGTCTTCTGTTTGTACATCCTAGTTATTTCCTGATACATTCCCCTGTTAATCCATCTTCTAACAAAGAAAAATAGTTTGGCAAAACCTGAGAGTTACAGCAACCACAAACGGAACATTTGAAACTCGTGATTCCTCTTTCCTCTAGTGAAGAGAGTGACTTATGTTTCAACAGTTCACTGGAACCAGTATTGGTCAAGTAATTCATCTGAATTTGGCTGCCTTTCCATGTGGTGTTAATTCTAATTGTGTATATTGTTCTGGTTCTGCTTGTTTTTAACAACTTTTTTTTTATAATTCTGAACTTGACTGAGAACAAGTGCAAACACTCCCATATACAAAGAAGAGGAAAAAAAGGAGGAATTTATATATATATATATATATATATATATATATGTATAGTGAATCTCTATAACATATAGCTTCTTTTTTCAGTATATAATAAATTCATCACCTTAGTTTCAAAGCTGTCCTGTCTGAACTCCCTTCTGTTGTATGCTGTCATTAAAAAAAGTTTCAACGCCACTCTTTTCTTTTCTTTTTTATCATTGTTCCCCTTTCCTCAATTTTTAAAATTTTTTTCCCTTTCCTCAATTTTTTAAACCTTCCTTTGCAATAAATAAGCATAGTCAAGCAAAAGAAATCCACACATTGGCCATGACTGAAAATGCATAGAACTGATTTCAAGGGAAGAAGAATGCTTCCTCTCCTCACGAATAGGTTACTGACTAATATACAGAGTGAGACACACCACATTTTTGAACATGGCCGATAATGTTATTTTGTTTTGCCTCACTAAGTTATTTGTTAAAAGGTATTTTTTTTCTTTTCGGGGAATGGTTTTAAAAGGAGAGAAAAATGTAATTTAACTTAATTTTTTTAAAACGCATGTAATATTATGTCCCTTAAGCTGAGATCTATGAACTTGTAAAAAAAAAAGTGGTAGCTATATATAATTGACTTCCTTTGTAATCCTATGCTATTTTATATTTAAACATTATTCTAGTAAGAAGTCTATAAGCTCAACTAGATTGCCCAAGGGGACCATGATACAAAAGGTTGAGAATCTTGAATACAGTGTATCACCCTCTGTCGGGAGTTAAGTAGGAAGCTTTGCCATAGGTCCTCTGGAGTCTTCAATCATCATTGCAATAACATTTATTAGATTCACAGGCCATAATTTGTTTGACCATCCCCCATTGACGGGTATCCCTTTAGTTTCTTTACCACAAAAAAAATTGTTACTCTCTATTTACGTACTTCTGCATTCTTCACCTCTTTTTTAAATTTTGGGGCAATATCTAGTTAGTAGTGGTATTTGTGGGATGAACACTGGATTCTGCTGATTTCATTCTGTGTCATGTTCATTCTACTTTTTCTATGTTTCCCTGACTTCTTCATATTAGTAATTTCAGAAGACACAATAGTATTCCATTACATTCATTTACCAAAATTTGTTCAGCGATGTGCCAATCAATAGGCACCCACTTTGTTCCCAACTTTTTGCTATCACAAAAAGTTTTACTGTAATGGGCAGCTAGGTGGCACAGTGGATAAACCTCTAGTCTACAAGTCAGGAGGACTTGACTTCAAATCCAACCTCAGACACTTGACATTTACTAGCTGTGTGACCCTGGCCAAGTCACTTAACCCCACTGCCTAACCTTAAAAAAAAAAGTTTTGCTATGAATGTCTATGTATACACATACACACCCGTCTGCATGTAAAAATACATATAAGGCTTTTCTTTGTGTCTTTGACTTCCCTGATTTATATATCCAGTAATGACATCACAGGATCTATGGATGTGAAGTTTTCTAACTTTTTTTTCCTAATCAGAGCTGATTCCCAGAATGGTTGACCAATTCACAACTCTACCAAGAATGTATTAGTGTCTCAGTCTTTCCAAATCTTCTCCAACATTAGTTATTTCCCACTTTTGTTATCTTTCACACTTTCATGGTTGATCATGAGGTAAAACCTCAGAGTGGTTTAAATTGTGTTTCTTTTACTATTACTAATTTCTATGAGTTTACTATGGTTGTTGATTATTTGGACTTCTTTTTAAAATTCTTTATCTTCAACCTACTTGTCTATTGGAGGATGGTTCTTTGTTTTATATATTTATGTCCACTCATTGTAAGTCTTATCAGAGATATTTAATGCATAGATCTTTCTCACTAAATTCAATTTTTAAAAAGAAAATTGATGATGATTGATGGGGTGCTTTGGTGCTTGTGTTTGGGTGCTTGTCCTTGTACTTGTACCCCAATTTCTCCCTAGCCTCAGAAACGCTACCCCTGACAGTTTCTCCCCAGCCCAAGGACACTGTGCCTAGCAGTTATTCATGCATGGGCCTCAGCATGACCCTTATCTCTCTCTCTGGTACAGCTACACAGAGCTGGGCTGCTCAGGCCCCAGCCCTCAGATCGTGTCTCTAGAAGCCTCCCAATTCCTTAGTAAGTTCCTGTCTTGTGAGAGAGCTTTCCCTTGTGCAGAGCATTCTCTCATCAAGCCAGAGGGAGAGGGGTGCCTTGCCCAGCCCAAGAAGTTTTCCTCCTGACAGACTAAAAAGATACATACTTCTGTCATCTCCCTCCCTGTCTGGTATATTCCCTCTACTTTCCCATCCATAGCCCACAAAGACACCTGCACCTTTGGATTACCTCTTCAGCGTTCCTAGCATTTCTTTCCCATGCTCTTTTCCATATAAACACTAGTTGCATTCTCAGTCTCTCGCAGGATCCTTTAAGAATCCTTGCCCACTGAAAAGCATAACAATAAATCTTTGCACCTTGCCTTACAGAATGCTTGAGTCTCTGAATTCATTCCACACGACCCATCCTGTACTACGGTCTTTCAGGGGTCACAACCTCTCAACATCTTAAACCACAACAATGATTAGCAGAGGTAAAAAATAATTTCATCACACTCCAAAAAAAAGGCTTTCTAATTTTTATGTAAGTATTGAACTTTTAAGACAAAGTTGTATGACTTACACTGCTAGTGCTAATTAGCATGTGAACAAAAAGGAGATATTCTTTGGTTTGTTTGTTTTCTTTTTCATTTTTAGGAGACAGTGTCAGTTGAGCCTAGGGCAAAGTAAGTCAGATCACTCCAACTTCTAAATATGTGAAGGAGGAGATGAATAAAAGGTCTCTGAAGGACTACACCACCATGCAGGGCCAAAAAACACTACACTTACGTAATCACAAGTAAAATACCTACCCACTACCCAATCCTCACTTCCACTGTCTTGCAAGCAACTTGAAGCTGGCCACCTAGCAAAAGAGATTCCCTTTTCCCCTTCAACATATTCCTCTTAGGGTACATATTGCCCTTCTGGAACATCTCTCCACTACCCACTTCTTTTACCTGATAACACTTCTTCCTAATCTTTACACCCTTATTTTCAATGAAGGAGGCTACTCTTGAGTATTTATTTGGATCAGATTTCTTCTTTAATATTCCATGATTTTATTAATACTGATATTTCCCCCATCACTGTTGATTGTAATCCCTTGGGCCTCAGAAGCCATTTTATTGAGCTACTGGGGCCAAATAAATAAATAAAAATAACCATCTCATGGCGAATTCTATAGTAATGATCCTTCTCAAATTTAGCTAGGCTGCCTTAGATGAGAGACATAATGGTCTCCTAAAGCAAATTATTATCTATCACCACATGAAGTCTTTCCATCTTGCTAAGTAAGGCCTGCCAAATCAGAGTGGAAGCTTTGATGTTTGAGCATGCAGTGTACCTTCATGCTCCAGTGAGGAACTGGTATAAGATTTCAATCTGGAGGAACCAGATTCTATCCATATGAAGAAATCACAGGGCAGGCAATATACACAATCTGGTTTGTTTGCCACCCCTTAAGGATAGCCCTGGGCAACATAATCCCTAGCTGCAATGATCTTTGTTAATACAGAGAATGGTTTCTTTCACAGGGACTTAACACAAAGGTTGCCTTTACAGTTGTACACCTGGAAACATTGGCTGTGATTATGGGAACTGTTGTACTAACTAAATCACTCACAGTTCAGCACTATGATAGTTTTGCAGCAACTTTCTTGGAGCCCAGTTCTAAATAAACCAGGGTCAGTGGTAAAAAGATAACAAAATCAAGTCAGGAATCATTGCAAGCACTGTGATTAAAGTGCTACGGTATGGATACATTCTTCCCCCTCTGGCCCACAGTTGAGGAAGTCTTCTTTCTCAATCCTTTCCCCCCTTTATCTTCATATGCACAGGATCAGAGGCTTTATAGCCTTAGAATTGGAAGGAACCTTGGAGGTTATCTCTATTCCAACTTCCCATTTTAGAGAGGAAGAAACAAAGTCCAGAGAGATTTTGATTTGCTCAAAGTCACATGGATATTATTTGGCAGAGCTGGATTTGAAATCAAGCTTCTGACCAAATTCTACATTTATATTTCTCTATTTTGATTTAAAAAGGGGGTTGTGGGGGACTGGTTCTATGATACTCCCAGTACAATGTCTCATACTATTTAGTCTCAGGACTCCTTTATATATTTAAAAATTATTAAGGACCGCAAAGAGTTTTGTGTTGGTTATACCTATTAATATTTACCATATTAGAAATTTAAATGACTGAGTATTATTACGCAGGGGTAAGAGGGAATAAACATTTAATAAGCGCTGTGTTAAGCACTTCATCAATATTGTCATATTTGATCCTTTATTTATTTCCTAATTTATTTAGGAGAATAGTTTTGACCTGGAGAGTTTTGGGGACCCCATCGGGGTCCCTGGACCACACTCTGGGGATCATTGAAGTGGTTTAACTAATTTTCAATGAAGCATAATATTAAGAAATAATATATAATAAAATATGTAATAATTTAAGGAATAATAAGTCGATTCATCAACTCAACAAACATTTACGAAGCCATTACCCTTTGCAAATATATATGCAGACCCTGGCTATAGATATCAAAATTTAGATAAGATACAGTCCTTGCCTTCATGGAGCTTACTTAGAGTCTAGATAGGATACACATACACATACAAACATACATATGTATAAAGTATATAACAAAATATGCATGAGAACATACTATCATAAAAAGATCTTGCAAAACAAAGTACTATGTAAGGTTTACTGGGAGAAGATTAGTACTGATGGAGGAGATGGCATTTGAGTTAGGTTTCAAAAGCTGAGTAGTTGCATTAATTGTAAGTTGCAAGTTGCATCATCCTAAGTATTACTTCAACCTGAAAAAAAGGTGGGAGGGAGGACATTACAAGCATAGCAAACAGTATATAGGCAAAAATTTGAGAGTGGGAAAAGTGCAGGAAGTGTTGAGGAATCAGAATTTGGATTATAACTTGGAGTAAGCAAAATGAAGTAATATGAAAATAAGCCTAGAAACAAAAGATAGGACCAAACTTTGGTGGATGGCCTTGAAAGCCAGGCTAAGGAGCTTTTATACTACCATTGTTGAGCAGTGGAGTGACATGACCAGACTCATATCAGACCCAATGCTCTAATGCTGAGTAAAGTATGACCTGGTTGGTACTTACCTTATAAGTATTCCAGAATTTCTGCCTCAGGTCCAAAAACTTATCCTCTTTCTTCTGAAGTATACTCATGCCTATTTGTAAACAAACAAACAAACACATACAATAGGAATTTTTAAAGGCCTAATATAGATTTTGTCATATTGCTGAAGAGGCTGAACAGCAACAGTACCAGAAACAAAGGCTATTCACTTCTCCCAACAGTGTACATGACAAGTGACACTTCGACTTAAAAAAGGAGTTGGAGTGGCCTAGAAACTGCAAGTTGCATTGTCATAAGTATTACAAACAGAATTTAGAAGCCAGGAATCAATATTGCCTTTTTGATAGGTTCTTTACAAACCATATTCTTCCACAACCTGCAAAAGCTGGACTTCTCCCTTTTATAAAAGATAAAAATGAAATTCCAATACCACGCTTTTAGGTAAAATTGGGACCAAATTCTTAACCTAGATATGTTGATGCAAAATCAAGACAACTAAGAAACACTTTTCAATGACAACAATTTAGCCAAAAAGATGAAGACCCTGTCAAACATCCCATTTCTTGCATTTTTATATACCTGGGGCACATCATCAAACAACCCTTTTATAGTCTCTGAGCCCTAGGCCTTCCAGTTCTGAGGCCCAGGTTTTCTCATTTTTCTCTGGTTTCTTTTGTCTGTGGTTCATTGAAACTGTCAGTCAATAACCAGTGAGGATTGTAAGGAGTGCTGTCTCCCTCCTGAGACAAAGCCTTGCATTTGGGACCAACTTCTGACCCAGATTCTGTAAAGGCTCAATGTGAAATAGTGTGAGGAAGGATGGAGTTCACTAAGGGTGCTGCTGTGAACAGTAAAATTCAGCAGCTTTGTCTGTGCATACTGTCTGGGTGTATATTTGCCTGTGTGTTAAACCTTCTGTTTTCTGTTTTATGCAACCACTCTGGGTGAACCCAGAGAGTCAAGAGGGAGGAAGGGAGGTCGATAAATGTGCAGACATTCATCACCAAGAAGAATAGCCTTGGGTTTTGTGTGTGACAATTTTTTTACTGCAACCACTCCCTCAGAGTCGAAGTCACTTAGATAAGTGGCTACACTTTCTGGTGAGAGAACCACAACGAACAGGTTGTCTGTCCATGCACATGTGAGGGTTGTGAAAAATCTTTTGTTTCCCTATTTTCTGCAACCAGGTCGCTAGCTACATTTTCCAAAGTGATCCATAAAGATAAATGGGTTGCATGCGGTATGTTTACGTTCATGTGTGTATGTGTATGTTCCTGTGTGTATATGTATGTCCACGGGCTGCATTTGAATGAATGAAATCTTTTGTTACATTTTTTGCCATTCCTTTCCAAGAGCAGGATAGTGGTTGCTACGCATTCTGGTGGGAACACACTATATATTCGTGCTGTGAGTGTCCGCCCGGGAGTGCATGTGCGTGTTGTTTGTATGGACGTGAGACCTTTTGTTTTCCCGATTTCTGCAACTGTTCCCCAAAAGCAGAAGGGAGGGTCGCTGCGTTTTCGAGTTTGCACCACAGCAAGACATGGTTGTATGTGTGCGTGTGAGTGTTGCATTTGCGTGCGTGAAATCTGCTTCCCCGTTTTCTACAAACACTGCCTGAAAGCAGAAAGCATGTAGATTATTTTCGGGCATGGACCATACGGTTTATATGTACGTGTGACATCTAGTGGCCCGTTTCCAAAAGAAAGCAGCCGGCTGCGCTGTGCCGGCACGTCCTGGAGGCAGGATCCGCGTGGTCACGCAGCCGGCCGGCTCCGACTCCCCAAGGGATCGCCTCCTGCCGGGCCCGTCTTCCAGCCCCAGCAGCGCGGCTCCGCGGCACGCCTCGCTCCCGACCCAGCCTGTCCGCCCCTGCCGGCCCTCACCTATGTAGAAGCCGCACAGCGCGATGGGACCGCCCAGCAGCTGGTCACAGAGCAGCTTGGTCAGCAGGGTGCGCCGTGCGCGACCAGGAGCTGCATCCACACGTAGTTGAAGTTCGCGTGGAAGCCGATGGCCACGGTGGCCACGCGCCGCGTTTGCTGCCAGTCGTGCTCGCAGCCCCGCAGGCGCTGCTGCAGCGCGTCCCCGGACGAGTACAGAACCCCGTAGAGGACCACACTGGTGCGCCACGGGTAACGCTGTGTTGTTCGCGGCACTACCCGCCACCAGCCCCACATCGCCGGACTGGTTCACCCCCAGCTCAACCCCCGCTGGCTGGCTTAGTTTGCGTCCCCTCCGCCCACCCCGATCGGGCTCTGTGACAGAGCCTCGGGGGGAGACGCCGCCGTGGGTGGGAAGGTGGACCTATAGCCTCGTCCTTCCACGCACCCCAGGGCACGACCACTAGCGACAGTCAGGCCTCCCTCTTGTCTTGCATCTACTGGAGCCACCTGCCTTGAGATCTGCCTCCCTCGGTGGGCTTCTATTGATGTATGCCCCAGGCCAGACCTGCCCCTTCTTAGACCTGCCTCCCTAGGTCGGTTCACTCCTATCAGAGCTGCCCAGGCCACATCTGGTTTAGATTAGGCCTTTGCCCCCTTTCTCAGCTGCTTCTCTGGCTCCTGCACTAGCTGCCCTTTCAGACTTTGTCACTTCCTAATTTTGCTATGCATGCGCGCCCTCCTCGATCCTTTTCCTGACTTGAACCCCACTCTGTCTACCTTGTGGTCTTTAGGAGACATATCCTTTTATCCTTCACCTTCCTCCCTCCTTTTCAGTTCTGCCAAGTCTTGTCTCTGGTCCATTCCTGACCGCAGACCTCTCCATTACCGCAGTTTCTTGCTTTCCTTTCTTCATCACTTTATTTTCCCACTCGCTTTCAAGCTGTTGTAACCTACACCTTCTGCCCAGTGGGTTCCTGGCTCCACAACTTCCCAATTGCCTCATTTCTTGAGGACTTCTTTTTCAATCATTCACCTTTGGCCACTCCCTTTCAAGCTGTGATTACCTAAATAGACTAGTTTACCCAGGCTGACCTGTGTTCTGACCACTATACCACAAAAACTTTTTTGTCAGTATCTTCAGAAACTTGACTGTATAAGACACAGTTGACTCCTCCTTTCCTCTTTTCTCTTCACTCCACCTTAAACTATCAAAAAGTCAACTGCAAGCATGAGCAGAAATCAGCTTACTAAATCACCTTGTCAACAGTACCTGAAAGATTGAGATTATTATTGTTTGGGATGGATTTGCTTTTGTGTTATACAATTCTGATTTTTTTTCTTTTTCCCTGCCTATTTCAAAAAAATGTAATTATGATAAATGACATGTCTATACAGGGAGTATTAAACGTCCCTAGTTAAATTCATCAGATAAAGGGGAAAACAACAGAGGTGATGGAAACTGAGCAAGATTGGAAAATACCATCAAGCATTTGTTTAGAGATGTGTGGTGTTATGTTGTAAAGATCACCCCAGACTCGGTTCTGAAGGGTGGTGTCTCAAAGACTTTTTATTAAAGAGGTTTATGTGTGTCATTTCAATTCTCCTGAGAAGTAGGTGCTCTTCCTTGGAAGGAGAGAAAATGCACATGGTAAAAGAAGCCAGAGCAATCTTTATACTTAGTAATTGCCTAACTCCTTCCTTCTGGATCTGCATTGGTCCTAATCCTTCTGGGTTACAACCTTCCTTTTATGCCCCACCCCTTATGTGCCTAGAATTCTATTATCTCTACCGGCCTTGGAGGGAGAAATTAGCCTATCCCTGCTGATTTCTTATCTACTTATGTGGAAACTTAACTCTCATTTCTCAAAATTTCTTTTTTTTTTTGTAAAGATTTGGTTTCCACATGGAGCCTTCCCAATTTCCTTATCTTCCAATCTCCTTAACATGATTTTTCATTCTCCATCACTGTGGGGAAAGTCTTGTTGATACATAAGGTATCATCATCCTTATATTGCCAGAGCCTACCCTCTGAACTCCCACTGTGGGTCCTACTGGGATAATCCTTAGTGAGGGATGTCTCTATCAATTGTTGTATCAGTCCCCTAGTGCATGGAACTTTACAACATCCTACCGCAGTTAATACTCCTGAATGGATACAGCTATTCCTTTACATTTGCCAAACCAGGATTCCAACTATCCCTTTAATCAGTTATCTGTCCAAGAGTTCTCTGCCAACTCCTCAGCTAAAGTGGTTAAACCTTGCAATGCCTTAATGATGGTTCTATCTGGGGCTGTACTGCTGGGCAACATTTCATCAAGGATTTTGGGGACTTAAAACAATATAGGAGAAGGAAGGGAGGAATTGACAGACACACTGACAAAGTAAAAAGGGTGTAGTCCCCTTATTAAGTACAGATTCAGAGACCCAAAAGTAACAACAAACTGTTCATTTAAAGCTTCAGAAGTCTCTTCTCATACAGCTGTCCGACACTCTAGACTGGCAAAGTCCTCTGGTCTAAGTGCTGTTCAAACAGTGTCCAGCGTACTCTCTTCTTGTAGAGAAACCTCCTTCTTGTGTCCACTCTCCTACAACATTGGTCTCAACACAATTTTTAAATTACTTTGCCAATAACCAGAGCAAATAATGAAAGTTAACTCAACCCCCATCTCACCACTATTACAAGGTCAAAATTGGAACCTTGGCCAATTGTCATATTTTAAGAAACTCAGAAAAGTTAGAACCTAGCCTTACCCTCTGCATTACTTCTAGTTTTATACCTTGCATTAGGTCAGTATTCATTCCTATTCATACTCCTCCATCAGGAGGATGAGATTCCACTAAGGAATTAATAACAGACTCCAATACATAGTAGTTAATTTCAAACCAGTACATATCAGATACTTCTAGTCATGTGCAAATCCCAACTTCTAGTCATGTACACATAAATAATCCTTAATTAAAATGGATGCTTCTTTCAAGGCATTTACAATAAACGTCATAAGCTACACTTCTTTTAACATTAATTAATTGTATCAAACTGAGACAACTTACAACTTTAACATCAACTAAGTATTAACCAAGTAGCAGAATAATATCCTAGTTCCACAGTCTCCTGGCCTAATTATCCTTATACCACTATGAGAAATGAAAGGATCCTTACTTATATAGGAATATACTAGTAACATATCAAGATTGAATACTTAATTCTGAAGTTCTAGGCCAAATAACTCAATCTTATATTTGCATCTTACTATAACAACTTCAGATGTTCCCACATCAATCAATTTCTTTTTTTAAAATACACTCGATATTTATGCTTACAAAACTTACGATTATACGAATTTGCCATGAAAGAACAGGGAAAGAGTAAGGGGACAATGCTTCCCTAGATTCACATCAATTCCAGGCAGAAGTTATATGTAATGACCAACTGCATTGAGCCAGGCTTAAAGTCTGCCAGGTGTCATAGTGGGGAAATTGAGTCAGGAGAATCCTACCTCAGCCATGCAGAAAAGTCATTCTCCTGACCTTCCCATGAGAACACCCTCTTGCAGCTCATAGGTGCAGCTCACAAATCCCTTTGCACATTGCTAATGTCATGGATCAGCAGCTCAATCAGTTTGTAGTTAAACAAACCTGGAGCTAGACTCCAAACAACAGTTCATTAACAGTCCACAAGATCTAGGACAGCAAATTCTCCTCATCAGGGTTTCAGATGTGACTATAGTTTCACATTAATTATGGAACATCTCCAAAGTGAGCTCTAAGTAGTTCGCATAGCTTCCTACACATGTTCTGATTCCTAATAACATCCTAAGTAAAACAAAGTTTCCATTAAAATCATAAATTGCTACTCTAAATAAATTTGCCTCTCTGTTTCTCAAGCTTATTTATCCCTCCTCTCATCATTCTTAATCTGAAAGAATGAGACACCTTCAGGACTTGAATCCTATCCACATGATAAGTTCAAACAGTAATTTTAACTCTTGCAAGGCCATGGAATGAATTGAAATCGAAACAGTAAGCTCTTTTCCTTCTTACAGCTTATTACAGAAATTTAGATGCTTTAGTATTAATCACTAGCCTTAGATCTCTGATGCTGCTTCTGATGGAGGGGGTGGGGCAAAGCCAAGATCTTCTCCCCTTGCCCCAAAGGGAATCTGACTCCCATTTGTCTACACGTTCCAGACCCTCATCTCCCTTTGAAAGCCTTCGCCTTACCTTTTATTCTTATTCAGATATGCCTTTGCCCCTTGTTCTAAAAGAAACTGGCTCCCTTTTGTCTGTGGACCCCAGAAAGCCCTTACTCTCTTCTCAAATGGTTCCCTGTGGACTTCCCTTAACTCCCTTTGAAAGTCCTAGCCCCACCCTTTGATCTTGTGGCTTTTTTTTTCCCTATTATCTATACTAGCCCATCATTGTCTTTTTACTGGTCTGATAGCCAGGGGCCACATCCAAGATTCAAACTCAATAACACTCCCAATCAAGGAATTTGGTGGATGGGGGCCTAGATTTCCCAGGCCCACCAGTCCCCAACTTAAGAGCCTGGCCCATAAGGTCCACCCCCCAACAAACCTAGACTTTTGCCTAAAGAAGGCTTGGGTTAAAATTTTTTTTTAATTTCTAATTGAGGTCCTGATATACGAGACAATATTTTATTAATTCCAGATGAATACATATCAATAAATTTTTCACAATAAAATATCTTTGTACCACAGGGGATACACTATAAAATTATTTCCACAAGTGTAATAAACTTAGAAACAACCCATTTTCCCTTTAGATGAATATACTACCAAATCACTTTGCACAAAGAATCATTTATCTCATCATTAATATGTTAGAACTATAACTTTAAACCACCACATATTTTTATAATAGTCAAGATTTCAAATGAAAATCTGCTATCAGATTAAATATGAATATAATTATTGCTTATAACCAAATATACCTCACTAGGTAGTTAATAGTTTCAAATTCTCTCATTTTTATCATGGAATGGAATGCTGAAATAGTGAAGCCCCCACAGTGTAGCTGACCCCGCCCTACATTTCTCAGAAGATGCCTTGCTGAGAAAGCAGAGTGTCACAAGGACATCAGGTGACATAGCCACATCCTGTTCTCCTGGATTCTATCCCTCCTCAGGCCCCCTCCCATTCCCTGTTTCCAGCCCTTTTTGTCCTGGGTGCTGGGGAGAAGTTTCTGTGCTTAGACTGCGAGCTCTGAAGTCCAGCCAATGGGAAGAAGAGCCAGTGGGTGGGCAGAGGGGATTGTGGTTAGGATCTATATGATCTGCTGAGCTGAACACACTTCTGTTCTCTTTGGTCGGCACCATCTTTTGGGTGCTCTGAGGGAGCCCCTTCTCAAGAAAGCCAATAATTGAACTATTCTTTTTGCTACTATCTCTGAGTCTCCGATTTATTGGTAAAGGTCTTTGTACCCCACACATCTCTAAAAGAACCATTCCAGGTCAAGAGTTACTTTAGCACCATTTCTGCCTCACAATGGTCCCTCAAATTTTACAATCTAAGAGTTTTTAAAATACAATATAATTTAGAAATACAGTAATAACTTAAACAATAAACTGCAGATAACATCAATTGCATTTCCATATTATCACATATTGAAATGATTGCTCTTTATTGCTTTCAACAATTACATTAACTAATAATAATGTCACATCTCCTAACAACCATCATTTTTGTTATGGAACAATATACTTAAATCCAATGAGATCCAAATTTATAATCACTAATGATAAACATTTAAAAACATTTTTGTTTTAAATCCAATACTCTTGGCCCTTTAAAAGGAAATATTCTCCACAAATTTATATCTTCCCTTAAAAAGACACTTGGTGAAAATTCCTGTTCTAAATAATTCTCCTTTTCTTTCCTACTTCCTTAAGGAAACAAAGAAAAAGTCCCCTCTTCTTCTTAGAAGCTTATCAGATAGAGCCACCCTCCTGAAAATCTCAGGCTTCAGCAATTTGAACAGGGCATAACCCTCTATCATT